GACCAGCACCGTCCCAAGGAAACAGAGAGGAAATCTCGAGAGGGAGCGTCGTTCTTGCTGGGAGCGGCGCCAATTCAAAAGAGAGTAGGGCGCCAGTCCAGCGTAAAACGGAAGGGAATCTCGGGCGTGAGCGCTGGTTTTGTCGGGGCGGCGGTTTTCGGCGGCGAGAAGGAATACCGCCTTGAGTAAGAAGGGGGGAAGTCTCGAGTGGGAACCGTGGTTTTGTCGGGACGGGGGTTGTCGGCGGCGAGGAACAGCACCGTCTTCAGGAAAAAGGAGGAAGCCTCGAGCGGGAGCGTTGTTCTTGCTGGGAGCGGCGCCAATTCAAAAGAAAGTAGGGCGCCAGTTTAGCGTAAGACGGAAGGAAATCTCGGGCGTGAGCGCTGGTTTTGTCGGGGCGGGGGTTTTTGGCGGCGAGGAGGAACACCGCCTTGAGTAAGAAGGGGGGAAGTCTCGAGTGGGAACCGTGGTTTTGTCGGGACGGGGGTTGTCGGCGGCGAGGAACAGCACCGTCTTCAGGAAAAAGGAGGAAGCCTCGAGCGGGAGCGTTGTTCTTGCTGGGAGCGGCGCCAATTCAAAAGAAAGTAGGGCGCCAGTTTAGCGTAAGACGGAAGGAAATCTCGGGCGTGAGCGCTGGTTTTGTCGGGGCGGGGGTTTTTGGCGGCGAGGAGGAACACCGCCTTGAGTAAGAAGGGGGGAAGTCTCGAGCGGGAGCGTTGTTTTGGCCGGGGGCGGCGCCGATGAGAGAAAGACTAGCGCGCCAGTCCAAGGTAATTTTGGGAGGAAGTTTCGAGGTTTGGTTAGGACGGCGGCTTTCGGCGGCGAGCAAAAGCACCAACCCTAAGTAATTTTACTCACTGCGTGGAGCTTCCCATATGTGCATCTCATGTTTTATGTCATGCCGTAGTGAGCGTCTGTTCATGAGCGTTTGACTATAATAGCGCGTCCACATGGGCGACAGGGCCGACGAAGACGAGTGAATCCTAATGCGAGTGAGTGAATATGAGTCAGAGTGAGCTTTGAGTATGATTCGACTCCTTCCCCCGTGCGTCCCAGAGGGTACGTGCCGTAGCACGACCCAAGGGACCAGCACGCCTCGACTCTTTCCTCCGTGCGTCCCAGAGGGTACGTGCCGGAACACGACCCAAGGGACCAGCATGCCTCGACTCATTCCGCCGTGTGTCCCAGAAGGTACGTGCCGGAGCACGACCCAAAGGGCCAGCATGCCTCGACTCCTTCCCCCGTGCGTCCCGGAGGGTACGTGCCGGAGCACGACCCAAGGGACCAGCATGCCTCGACTCCTTCCCCCGTGCGTCCCAGAAGGTACGTGCCGGAACACGACCCAAGGGACCAGCATGCCTCGACTCATTCCGCCGTGTGTCCCAGAAGGTACGTGCCGGAGCACGACCCAAAGGGCCAGCATGCCTCGACTCCTTCCCCCGTGCGTCCCGGAGGGTACGTGCCGGAGCACGACCCAAGGGACCAGCATGCCTCGACTCCTTCCCCCGTGCGTCCCAGAAGGTACGTGCCGGAACACGACCCAAGGGACCAGCATGCCTCGACTCCTTCCCCCGTGCGTCCCAGAAGGTACGTGCCGGAGCACGACCCAAAGGACCAGCATGCCTCGACTCCTTCCTCCGTGCGTCCCAGACGGTACGTGCCGGAGCACGACCCAATGGAACCGCACGCCTCATCTCCTTTCTCGCAGCACGAAAGCGAGCAAACCGCTTGAAACATCCTGGCAAAATGGCCGCGAAGGGCCCCTGTGCCCTGTCGTTGGTGCCCAAGTGGGGGAGTGTCGCCCTCTACCTGGGCACTGATAGAATCAGCTGGATGGACATTCCCAATTTGTGGCACATGGTGGACAAGCGGCCGATACGCCTGACCCCAGCAGGTACTTGTCCCAAGACAGGTGCCGGGTTCACGGATTCAGCAAGGGCAGGAGGAGGAGGATGAGGAGGAGGAGGAGGAGGAGGAGGAGGAGGAGGAGGAGGAGGAAGAGGAGGAGGAGGAGGGCGAGGGAGGGAGGAGGGATGAAGAGGGCGGGGGGAAAAAGGGCCGAGGGGGGTGAGGGAAGGGGTTAAGGAAGAGAGGTGTTTGTGCTGCGTGTATGGCTGGTCGACGGTCTCTATACTGGCTTGGCGCAAGCGTCAATATCAGCACTAACCGATTGATCTTGCGCATGTGGCGGCGCGCGGCACTCAGTACGGATGTCCACCTCCTCCCCCCTCGTCCTTTCCTCCCCCCTCGTCTCTTCCCCCCTCCCTCGTCCTCGCTCCTCCTTCCTCCTCCTCCTTCCTCCTCCTCCTCGTCCTCCTTCTTCTTCTTCTTCTTCTTTTCCCTCCTCCTCCTCCTCCTCCTCCTCCTCCTCCTCCTCTTTTTTGACATGAGGCAAAATTGGATGGGCTGGGATCGTTCTCCTCCTCCTCCTCCTCCTCCTCCTCCTCCTCGTCTTCCCTGCCCAGAGCCTCCGTGGGCCGCCCCTGCCCGCAGCCGCCAGGTGTGCTGCCTGCAGTGACGCCCCCCGGCCTCGCCGCCCCTGCTTCGGGAACGGCCGCCCCGGGCCCCACCCGCCCGCGGGCAGAAGCCCTCGGGCGTCGCGCGCTGCGGGGCACGATGCGCGAAGTTCGGTGGGTTCGGCGGCGAGCGGGTGGGGGGGTCAGTAGCAACTCGTGGGAGCCTTGTGAACCCTCGTAATTTTGTCTTCAGCGTCGATTAGCGTCGGTTAGCGTCTGGGAGGCGATGAGACAGCGCCGATTTAGCGTCGGCTAGCGTGGATTAGCATCGAATTCGCGTCGATTCGCGTCGATTCGCAAGAGCCGACAAGATTGCATGGGAGGCTCCCATCAGTTGCCACCGAAGGGGGGGAGCGAGAAGGAAAAGGCCTTCTCAGAAGGCGGCGGGGTCTCTCAGAAGCCCTCGCGCCCCCCGAGTGGTCTTCCGTGTCCTCTGGGAAGGCCCAGACAGTTTCTCGGGAGGCCGCGGGACTTCCGAGCCTTCTGAGAAGGCCCGCCCCTTCCTCACTTCCCCCAGGCTCGCCGCCGATCGGTTGATGGACAAACTCTTGCACTGTTTAGGTTGATAGTTGGGAACATCCCCTGCGCCCCCAATTCAATATTGGCGGGCTACGCCGCGATGCGTCGATCTGGCGACTGGTCGAACTCCTGCGCCCCGCTGGCGATGCCAACCAACATGGTATCAGGGCCAGGGGGGCGTGTTGAAGTTGGCCAGCGTAGGCGCCGGCACCCCAGTGGTGCGGGTGGTGCAGGGGTTTGTCCGTCGATCAACCGTTGGGCGGTTATGGCGGCGGCAGCGAAGGCGAGGCCAGCAGGCGGGCATCGCCAGCAGCAGCTGGAGGGGTGGGGCTTGCCCCTCCACCGCCTTGGGGCAGGGGGCTGAAGACGCCCACCGATCCCAAGATCCCGGCGTGCCATTTTTTGGCGAGCCGGGCGTTCTCGTCCGGTTTCGGGGCCCAGGACCCGTACAGACAGAGCGCGTGCTCACTTGCATTGCATTTTCCCCCTCCCCCTCTGCCTCCATTTCAGGCAGCGCTGGGCCGAAAAGGTGTGCAAGTGATGCCCGACTTGCGTGAAGTCCAGATTTCCTTTCGGGCCTTGCCACGCTCCCCCCTCCATGCAAATAAACTCGCAATCATCTAGATAATGAATTCCTCTAGAAGCTCGGTGGGATTGCTTGCCTGCGGCTGAGATCCTGGGGTACATTTTTTTTTGTGAGCCGGAGCGTTGCCGCCCAGTTTCGGGCCGTGGAACTCACATGCGTACCTGGCTCGAAGAAAAATGGCGCAGAAACTTGGCGTCGAGGGTTCCGCCATGATTTTTCACGATGTTGCGATTTTTTCCTTGCGTCGGCTCTCAGGGACGGCTGACGGGGGGCCGGCCCCCCGCCGCAGCGGCAGCGGCTACTGGCCTGGAATCGGGCACGCCGCCGATGCGTGCCGGCTGGGCACGAACCGCGCATGGCGTCCGCGGAAGCGGAAGGTTTTCCGCGCAAGACTTTCCGCGGATGCGGAATTCGGCGGACCGCGCGGCTGTGCCGGATCATCGGTGCTGTTGCCCGGCGCCGTGCTTTCCGACGAAAGCATTTGCACAGCACCACCGTGCCTGGCCAGGGCCATCATCATGGGCCCTGCATACACCATGCCAGGACCAGGATGGCCCTGGCTTGGCACGGTGGTGGTGTACTTATAGATGCTTCCTGCGTGTGTTCCACCCTGCCGTGCGTCGCTCCGTCCCACGAGCATCCGCAGAAGCGATCTGCACACCACCACCATGGCCGACCAGCCCCACTCGGGGGCCCCGGGCGGGGCACAGGCCCCGGCCTCGTGCGGGCGGGCGCTCACGCCATGCCAGGGCCCAGGGTGTTCGCGGCCCGAGTGGTGGTGGTGGTGGTGGTGGCGGTGGTGGTGTGTCAGCGAAGGCAGAGATAATTACCCACACCTCTACTCCCTCGCCCTCTTTCCCCTTCTTGCGCCTCCAAGGAGGCCCTCGTCGCCACCGCTGGATTCGCCTCGAATTTCTGGTCAGAACGCACCCTGGGAGAGGTCCCGGGGGGTAGTGGTATCGGTACCTTTTGGTTTCCCTGATGTGAGGCGCAAGCGTTGACACCAATGCCTGCCAGCCTGGAGCACGTCCCCGTCCCCATGATCGGCATCGCCTCATCTCGATGCCGATCTCGAGGGTTCCCTCCGTCTTCGAGGGCACATCCCTGAGATTGGCATTGCCCTTTGGCCTGTCAATCTTGGGGATAGGGGTACAGTGCCGTTTTTAATACATGCTCCGCGTGCGGATCATGTATGCAAATGCAGGGATTTAGTATGAAAAACAACGATGAGTTCGTGCATACATTTACTCGTAAAGCGATACCTTATTAAACATCGTAGTTTTTAAGAGAAGAGTTCCGATGCATAAAAACTTGCCCTGTAAGTTCGAGGCTGGTTCGAGGCTCGTCTGGGGCCTGGGCCGGTCGTGCAGGGGCCCCCCTCGCCTCGGCCAGCCCTGGAGGCCCCTGGAGGTCCCCACCGACAGTCCTCCGGCGGCATCCGTGGCGTCTTGAGGCTTCCATCCCCAGACGCCCAGAGGCTTCGATCATCCCCGGGTGGGTAGCACCCCTCCCCTCGACCACAAGACAAACGACGCCGACTCACCTACGGCCCTCCATGTTGCGCTACGGCCCATCAGGCGCCGTAGCGTATACCACGCAAAAACCCACTCCAGATCTCTTGGCATACGCTAAGCCCCGTGGGGCCGTAGTTGGGGTGGTGTCGTTTATTTTCAAGTCCATTCTCGTCCTACAGTCAAAACTGATGATAAGGATGCGCAGTAAGGATGCAAGCTACTTGAACGCCCATGCTGAAGCTTTTCGAGCGCGGCGGGCCATCGAAGGTAGTCAAGGATTGACCAAAGAGGCACGGATGCAAGGGTGCCCTTGGGAAGGTGACCCATCTTTACCATCGGTTTCGACTGTATCATCCTCCCCCCCTCGTCCTACCTCCGCACTGCCCTCCCCAGTCGCAGGTGTCAGGTGGCGTCCCCATAAAAATCTGGGCGTCATTTACAAGGGATTGCAGCTTTGGGGACGCGCGAATGCGCAGTGATTCACGAGGGATTCTGGCCTCGGGGGCGCGAGTCTGATGTAACTGAGATAATAGTCCCAGGAGCGCGATTGCGTTGTAATTCGCAAGGAATTGTGGACTGGTAGCGCGAGTTCGGCGTCGTTGACAAAGGATTGGCCTCGGGAGCGCGAACCCGTTGTAATGTGCAGAGGATTGTGGTCTCGCGAACGTTAACATGTAGTATTTTGAATTTCCCAGCGCTCCCAGACACTCCAAGGATGTGATTCAGACGTGGTGAGCCGGTGGTGTTTAGGCTGGGGTCCTCGCGCGATCTTCAAACGACATTGGAACCAGACGCCATCATATTGTACGTTTGGAACTGGAACTCGCAGCCTGTTCAGCCCCAATGGGCTAGCGTATTTCAATAATCGAATGGCCTCTCTCCTCTTCCTTCTCAGGGGACGGGCGGACACCCAATTTACTTTCAACGCCTTCCTACTCCATGTTTCTACCCACTTCTTCCGAACGATGGGTGGGGCTTGCATGGGGTCGGCTATTCCGAAGGCTTCCACCACAACCGCCGGTCCTCTTTTCTTGTCCGTTTCGGGCTTCGAGGGTTCTTGGGTCGGTGCCGGGCTAGCGTTTCTACGGGAGTCGAAACACCTTTGCTCATGAGCTGACAACTATCACCCGCGCCTATGCGACCCCCAGATGTCTCGGGGTGGAATTCCGCGGGGGCCATGGTGTGTGTGTGTGTGTGTCTGCGTTGTCAGACGGAGGTCCCCGCTCGAGCCGAAGTCCCTCTTCGGGGTCAGACAACTCGCACCCATACCTAAAGCGCCTTCATCGCCTTGGCCTTCCCCATTTCTCCTCCCTGCACGGTTGATTGTGTGTGTGTGTGTTGTTCTTACATGGTCTGCAGCGCATGGGGAGAGAATGTGCCTCGCGCCTGGCGTTGGTCCGCGCCTTCGCCCTCGAGCGGCTGGCCCCAGAAGGGTGGGACACGTGTGTTTGGATTGAGAGGGGGTCACCTCATGGAGGGGAGCACGTTGAAGAAGGGGGGGAAGGGGGCGGGTGAGCAGAAGGAGGAATCGCGGGGAGGAGGGGGAAGGGAAAGACAGAGGAGGAGGAGGAAGAGGAGGAGGATGAAGACCCGCTGAGAAGGACAATGCGAGCTCCATTACCGAGCCAATCGATGGGATCTGGTGATATTGGACCGTCAGAGGAGGCGGTCGCGTTGTCCAAACGCTGCGCGCGTTCCGCCAGCCTCCGTGGAGCTCTCTTGTCGCTCTGTTGGTGTGCCCGAGGAGCCCGTCGGTCGCGAAGGAGCGACGAAGCTCTCGGGCGCTCTTAGGTCCCTCTCGGATTTCTCTTAGAGCGCCGCGGGGGCGCTCTTGGGGCCACTTTGGGTGTCACACTCCATGCAATCTCGGAGGATCTTGGAACCGTTCGGAGGCTGCACAAGCCCATCGGGAACGCAACGACGACACATCATAAACAACTGAACCGCTGATTTCGTAAGGAATTGTGCGCCTGGGGGACTTCTTGGGGGCTGTCTTGGAACATGCGGAACCACCTTGGGTAGCTGTCTTCGGGGCTCTTGGAGCTGTCGAGTGCGATGTTGGAGCCACGTGGATGCTTCTGAAATGACAGGGAAGGGGCAGCCACTGTCAGGAGCGAAAGAAGGACGTACACGTACATGAATCCACGCTGTTTTCGAGATTTCGCATTTCGCGTACGTCCTTTGTGGGCTCCCTACACTGGGAAGCCACCATCGGTTTTTTGGGGGCCGTCTCCTGCTCGTGTTGGAGCCTTCTTCTGGGGAGTTCCGCGGGCGCTCCTGCGTGTCGTCCGAGCCCCTCGTGACTCCCCCATGGCTGTACCATGGAGCTGTCTCGAGGGTTCAGAAGCCGATCGGACACGGAGCGGTGATACGTCAACATTGTAGGGAGACGTTTTTTTTCAGTGTTTGAGTGTGGGGCGTTGTAGAAGCATTCGGGAGGCTTATTGGGGCCTCTAGGAGGCCCTTTCGGGCCCTCTTGGAGGCCTTTTAGAGGCCTCATGTTTCAGGTTCTCGTGGGCTCTCAAGGACGTGTCTCTAGGGCTTCTGAGGGCCTCTTGGGGTTATCTTGGCCCGAGAGGCTCCCAAGGCCAGTTTGCTTTCTCTCTCTCTCTCTTGAACCCCCTAGGGGCCTTCTTGAGGGCCTCTGGGGCTGTTGTGGAGGCCTCTTGAGCTGTTCTTGGGCCCTCTTAGGCTGTCCTGAGGCCCCATTGGCGCCTGTAGGGCAGTCTTGGGCCGATCTTGGATCTTGGGGGTCTTTTCATCCGTCTTGGGCGTCCACATGCTCGAGAAGTCGGTAACGCTAAACTGTGTTCCAAACCAGAGGAAGATCTTTTTTGTTGTTGCTCTGGAGGCTTCTTGCGTGGTCCTCTCTGGGCCCTCTTGGATCGTCATGGGGGAATCTTGACCCGTCTTGAGGCCGTTCTAAGCTGCTGTCTTGGGTCCCTTGTGTGGCCGTATTGGGGCCACTCTGAGCCGTCAGGGGGCCCTCAAGAAGCGAAGAGGCCCAAGTCAATGATCTATAAGGCCGTCGGGACCTCGTCCGGCCACATGGGAGGCTGGATATGCCCCAACCCCTCCCCTCTCAAAATCACAAGTTCGGGCCCGGTGGGGGGGGAGCGGTTCTTATGGGGGGACTACCTCGCACGCCTCTTTCGTTGTCGCGCCCCGGGGCGAAGGCAGAGGACCTTGTCAGAAGGCTCAGAAGGCCTCTGGCCTTCTGAGAAGCTCCCTGAGCTCTCTCCGAAGCCAAAGAGTGCCTCGTCGTCGTCGCTGCCGCCGTCGTCGTCGTCGTCGTGAAGGCCAGAGGGCTTCCGAGAAGCCCCGCCGCCTTTTGGTAGGCCTGCCGCATCTCATTTCCCCTCTTGGGCGGGCCGCCGCTTTAGCGACGCCACTTGCAAACCCTACCCCTGTGGGTCCAACCGACACTTAGGTACGGTCGGACCGAGGTATAAGATCAAGGTCGGTTCGGGGAGGGTGCCCTCATGTCTTTCGTGTTTGCTGGCTGTTCTTGTGCATCCTGGGCGAAGGTACCCTCGAATGCTCTTCAGTTTGGCCAGCGGATGGTCTCATGTTCTTGAAGGATGTTCTTCTGTCCTAGATCCAGCCGTATCGGAAACCTCCGCTGGGGCTCCGTTGGCTGCAGACATCCTTTAAATTCTCAGCCCTTGCCAGTTTTCCAGAAAGTTTGCCTGGCTCTCATGTGGTTGCCTGGCCGACCCTTGACGCCCGAGTGGGTTCAGCGAACCCCCCACACCTTCGGCGGCGAAATCCGAACCCTACCCTCGCCGATCAGCGATTCAGGCAACTCGATGGGCGGCGGGGGTAGGGCTTGGAATTCGTCGAACACGTGAAGCAAGCCGAACCCCGCCCCAGCCTCTTACTGAATCAGGGGAATCGATGGTTGGTTGGGGCAGGGTCCGGATGTCGCCACCCGCGCTCTGGCGGCCTACCCTTGCTGCCGGCACGCCCCGCGGGGTGGGGCGAGGGCAGCTTTTGGTCCCCCCCTGCGAGGCACCAGGCCGTCTCAGAAGGCCACCGTCCTCACGCCGCCCTCTGGCCCAAATCCACTCTCGAGACAGTCCCCCGCTCCCGGGACCCACCCCCGCCGCCTTCTCGCGCGGCGCCCCGCCGCGGCCGCGAGAGCCGCCAGAGAGCCCCCCCCCGGGGGCGCCCGCGCCAGGTGGCGGCGCACTGTGGCCCGGAGTCGCCAGGACGCGCCCCGCCCCCCGAGCCCGGGGCGCCCGCCTGCCGCCGCCACTGCGGCCTCTCGCCCCCTTGCCGCTCGTCGAGAGTGTCGCAGGCCTAGAGGGTGACACCAACACCAACATCCGCGGTGTTCCTCCACCGCGGGAAGAAGATCCCGATCTCGGTGATGGTGATAATACTCTGGCTTCCAAGGTGACCGAACTATTAGCACCAACACCGAAATCTAGGATCATCTCCCCCCTGTGGAGGCAGCCCCCTGTCTTGGTGTTAGTGCCAATTTCCAGGCCTCCAAGAGTGGGACGACCCGGAGCTGTCGGCGTCCAACTCTTTTCGGGCCGGGCGTCCTCGCCCAGTGTCGGACCCCAGGACCCTTGTCATGCGGATCCGGCTCGAGGGATGCAGCAGAAGGACGGGGTCGAGGGCTCTGGTCGTGGTTTCGCGCGATGTTGTGGTTTCGCGCGACGCTGAATCTAACCAGCGGAGAGCG